TAACAGGAAAATGATGTAATCAAATAAAAAGAAGATCAATAAACTATGTAACCAGGATAGTTGAAGATTCCTTTCAAACAAATAAGTTTAGTTTTAAGTGTTTGATCGTAATGGCTTCAGCAAAGCGAAAAAGATCTGAATTTTCCTATTTATTGATTACTTTTAACAGTTCCAAGGCATCTACTTGATGTTCGACGTCCTCTAAGTGCTTAGGAATTGTATTATTGAGAGTAATTGCTCTTCTCAACCACAGGCTCTTTAGAAAATGCTCCAAATAATTAGGGCAAGCTTTCCTTTATGTTCTCACAGTGTAACTGCCCTAGGAGATACATATGAATTGATACGCAACAACTAGAGGTAATATATGAAAGGTACTTGTCAAATTTTGATTGTACCAGCCATCAAGAAGTAGTAAACAGGAGAGCTAGCTTTGCTACAGGATACTTCCTGGACAGTGCAATGCGTGGTCTTCGGTTTACTATCATTACTGTATGATGACCTCTGCTCCGAATTAGAGGCGAATGAAGACCGGCTACTCACTAACTGCTATTTTCTCAATTCTCCTTTATTCTTTTCTTCTGTATTTATTGATGAAGCTTCGTGGGCATCCGTTTTCTTCTCGAGAAGTGAAGATTCCCCTTCAAGTTTATCTGGTGAGTATATTTTCATGCTCTACAGAACGGCGTCGTAGTCAGTTCGTTTCTGTAGTCGACTGGATAAAAACTGTCTAAATTAAAGCAAAGGAAATTCTATGTGCTTTTGGGATGGTTGTATCTTTGAAGTATACCATCAGTTCAGTATTGAATTTTGAAGTCCACAATGCTGGCACCCAAGGAGATGTGATGCGCGGTATAAATTCTTAAACACAGTGAACGTATTGTCGATGTATCTGAAGTAGAACATTGTTTTAGCAGTTGCACATTTGAATTTTGCCATTTCAGCATTGGCCACGAAAATAATTGCTAGCATAGGGCCTAATGTATTCCCCTTTGCCACTCCGTCAACTTGGTGATATAGGATATTATTAAACTGAAACTGGAAATCTTTCGTACATTTTAGAAGAAACCTCCTGGATTCAGGTTTCGATAGGGGAAGGAGATCGGTCTGCTGACGGATAATATGTACAGCTTCAAAAAGAGGCAACTGTGTAAATAAGGAAGTCGAATCTAGAGAAACTATATACTCACTCCAGACAACTACTGTGTCAACAAACTGGGACAATCCCTTCGTAGTGCATTCCGTCAACCGTTGACGAACAGATTCTAACCTTTCAGTTAATTAACGAGCAATTTTTTAGCTGGGTAAATTAAAGATTGATAGAATAGGTCTTCATGGAACATTGTGTCTGAGTATCTTAGATAGACTATACATAAAAAACAAACCAGAAACTCTAGGCTTCAAATCGCTGTATGTGAATCAACGAAAATACCGATTAAAAAACTGAGAACAGAGGCTGATAATTTCGACAAACTAGTCAAAGCTTTGAACAGTAGAGTCCACCTTCAGACCTTTAGTAAAAGATATGCGAAAATTTCTCAAAGACTTAGTTAAAGACCTGATTAAGCGGGGAAATATATGAAGGCATTCATGAAAGTTCAGAGAAGTTAATTTTAAGCTTTCACTTGAATCTAAGTTCCATGTCCCAAGGACATTTGTTAACCGAATAGACACAAAACCTCAATTCGAAAATTTATTTAATCAGTTAGTTGACATACACCTAATGAAGGATGATCAGAGAGTTGGTTCAAAAATAGACTAGTCGACAGTGTTAATCAATATCAACTGTCAAAAGAATACCAGTCTACAAAAAAAAACACTTGAAAAACAATGGGAACTTCGTGATATTACGGCCGCATAAAAGTTTGGGTGTTGAGGCAATGAACAAGGATAATTATATTGCCAAGAGGTAGTTCATTCTAAATGACCTATTGAAATTCATAACCAACACTAAGAACAAAGACATGGCAGGCTCAGTGAAAAAAAAATCACAAAGGCACTTAGATAACCTTTTAAAAAGAAATTAATCAATAATTTGTCAAACAACATTTTGAAGCCCGTAGGATCCTGTTTGTCACTTTATATCTTATACTTTTATCAGGCATTTCTCATACCCGTATAACAGGATAGAATGAACAGTAACTTATTTGAAATCGTAGTGTGGCCCGGTATTGATGTTCGTAAAACACAATTATAGTTGTATGTTTCAATCGACTGCCTATTATGTATATATATTTAAATTGCAACTAACAATAAAATAACCATTGTTCCAGTGTTAAATTCCCCTCCCATCTCACTATATAAAGTGCCTTAACGATCGTCTTAAACATACCTGCACTGGCTTTTTTTTATCAGATCTATAGCTACAGAACCTGAGAAGGAAGTTATGGAAAACAGTTATTCACTTAAATATAAGGCATTTAAAACTATGTCATTTCATGTCATCATACTTAACAACAGCAAAACGCAACTATGCAGAAACAAGATTAAATTAGAATAAAGAAAAACGTTATATGAAGTAGAAAAATAAGTTGTATAAATTTAAAAGGGAAAACTTACAACAGCGCCGTTGTCATCACATTCTAAATATTTATTCCTAACATCTAAGAGACCTTAATCTGGTAGCTTACCCTTGTATCTATATAGCACGAAAGAACAGTAAGAAAGACTCAACTCATAGTTGTTATTTACTGACCTGATTATTTCTGGCTAACTTCCAACTAAATCATACCTCACTAATGTAAGGGGAAATCTTGGGCACTGTGGTAGAGTATAAATCCATATAAGATTGTTTATTTGAGATAGCACACAGTGACACAGTATAATTTACTCGATGACATTTTGAGTAGAATTTATTGCTCAAATTCATATCAAAGTATTTATACGACTTTCAAACTTCCTTCATGTAGTCCAACAGTTTATCATTCGTTTATTTTAATGATAGTAAAATTTTCCAGATGTCTGCAATATGTGATGAGTCATTCCTATTACATGTGTTAGGTGTGGATTCAATGAACACGGATTCTGTGATCAATCTCTCCTTCTACCCAGTCAGTCGTATTGGATTTTAGAATTGTTGCCCTATCCACCCTTATAGTGGGATTACAGGTCAATGCATACAGAGCGATAACGGAGTTTTCTTTAACTGAATGTGTTGGTTTCCTATAAACACTTGCATTCAGAAATGAACTCACAACTGACCATGAACTCAGTAATAGAACTAAAGTATCTATTGAAGAATTTATGCTAGGGATAAGATTATGTTCCACTTCCACAATTTTCAAATTTCAAGATAAAATATACATCGACAAACAGGAGTCTCGACCACATCTCCAATATACACGATAGTAGCAAAAATATTTTATGGACAGTGAGGAACCAATAGGATAAAGAACATTCCAACCCACCCCAAAAAGTATAGTGATGATATCTAGATGACATTTACTATGCTGACATCAAAACACATCCAGATTTTCTTCGCACACATTAACTCGATAGTAGATGCAATCTAATTCACTTACGAATTAGAAACTGAAGAAGAAGAATTATCTATGTCGGATTGAGAAATCAAGAGGAGAGAAGGTGGAAGCTTAGATACTAATGTTTATAGGAAACCAACACATTCACATACATACTTGGATTTCACATCGTCTCACCCTATATGTGTCACGGTAGGCCCCATAATATGTTCTATTTATCGGACTAGGAGATTGACTAGTCTGTCAGAAAACCTGAATAGCGAAATGAAATACATCGAAGAGACACTACATCTTAATAATTATCCTCCGAAATGTGAAACGTTTATAAGGATTGATAAGAGAAAGAGTGGTAATGTAAGTGGTGATTTGTAACATACCTAAGTGGGAATTCAAATCTTCTGTAGTGTGGCCGTATGAAGAAGGTAAATCGGAAATTTTACGTAGAATTCTTAACAATACTAGGATTAGGGTAGCATCTAAACACACAAACTTTGTAGACTAAAACATCCAGCAGTCACAATTAAGAAAAAGAACCTAATCTATCAAATACCATGTAATGATTGTGAGGTCAAGTATGTAGGTCAAAGCAACCAACAGCAGAACACAAAATTTAACGAAGTATACAACGGCACACCCTACCAATATAAGTGATTTCGGGAAAACTCGGTTGTCGCTCTGTATGCATTGACCTGTAATCCCACTATAAGGGTGGATAGGGCAACAATTCTAAAATCCAATACGACTGACTGGGTAGAAGGAGAGATTGATCACAGAATCCGTGTTCATTGAATCCACACCTAACACATGTAATAGGAATGACTCATCACATATTGCAGACATCTGGAAAATTTTACTATCATTAAAATAAACGAATGATAAACTGTTGGACTATATGAAGGAAGTTTGAAAGTCTCATAAATACTTTGATATGAATTTGAGCAATAAATTCTACTCAAAATGTCATCGAGTAAATTATACTGTGTCACTGTGTGCTATCTCAAATAAACAATCTTATATGGAATTAAATCATATATCGCGTTTCGCATAAAGGTAGTTAGTGGACCTTCGTGTATAGCATACATAATCAAGTCATCCCAATCAATGGAAGTTCACATCTTCATTGATTATCTTACCCTTTTCTTCCTAATACTGTACACTTTAAGCATGATGTATATATAACATTCACTTTACTTCAAACTACAGACTTGTACTCGATAGATGAAGAAAATTCTCTGTCAAAAACACGGTAATATGAACTAATTTTATTCTCCTTACTTCGATTTGGGAAATGCAGTAATGTCTTTAACTCCCAAATAACATAAAAGCAAAGTCTGTAACGCGATTTCAGTTATTTAATTTACATTTACTTGTGTTTTGTATTGTCAGTTATCTTGATTGAGCTCGACTGCATAAAGGTCACGTAGACGGGGTCAGTATTATGAAATAATGAGTAAACATAAACCAAATCTAGTGATGAATATTACTTATTATTTATACTACTACTATTATAAGCAAAGAACATACATTCACAATTGGTAGGTAACATATCCGCACATGATGACTGATTGACTATTGAAGCTTGAGTATTCTGAAGGTTTCCAGAGTTTGAGTTCGATGGTAATGAACTAGGTGTCGGACTTTGACTGGGAGGGAAAGGTGGTGGTTCACGAGAATTCGGAGGAGCCGGTGACAATGATAAGAGTTGGTGTAATCCTAATCGATAAATCAAATCAGCAGGAGACATTGCATGACTAAGTGGATGAACATCTGGACTATCTACTGATGAATTTGTATTTCGCTGACCATCTAAACGACCTATAAAAATAATTAATAATGATACTTAATGGAGAAAGAAATTATCATTCAATAAAAAAATTCAACACCATAAAACTGAGATTTAAGTGTAAACAAAAATTAGTCTTTGATGTTATTGCTTGTATTATCCCGTTGTTGATAGAACAGAATTGATCAATCCCTATTGGCATATGGACTCCTGCGAGGATATCTCGATGTTGTCTGTGTTTCAGTTATATGTAATAATGATGGATAGTGGCTGGCAGTGGAATCCAGGACGCGCGGTGCGTCCTATTTGGGACTCATCAGCTGCCTGCCAGTGATGTTTTTTCTCACTGGGACTCGAACCCGAGACCGGTCGCTTCAAAAGCCAAAGAGCTATCCACTAGATCACCAAGCCACGATAGCCACTTCTTGTGAGACAGGTGTAGTATTAATGTTGTTGCTTGTATTATCCCGTCGTTGATTGGACCGAACTGATCGGTCCCAGTCGGAACAATATCACTAGGAGGCATGTATATCCAACTGACGAGTCCTAAATAGGAAGAAACGTGCGTCGTGGATTACACTGCTAGCCACTATCCATCACTGAAAATTAGTCATCAGTCTGACTAGTACTGAATAAAGATATTTATCGTAATGGATGATTGTACGATACAATTCAAAACATGAAAAACATTAGTTCTATTACTACGCACTGATGACGATCTGTTTGTTTCATTTTGCTAATGTAGATTATAGGATGACATATGAGAATGAGTTCATTATTCCAGTGTTACATGAAATGTCAGATACAACTGCATAACGGCGTAACACTCACATTTATCGACATATACCTTTGACTACATGGAAGTAATGCTCACACTAGACTGCCGTTTCCCTCATTTAAGGTCAAGATGATCAACAGTATACTCGAAAGAGTTCAGATTGCAGAAAACATTCATTACTCAAATCAAATGAATCTGGACAAACCAGTATATTATAATATAGATGAACACTATGCAAATTATTGACAAACTGCACTATTCACATGATGATATTTTCCGCTGACGTGTAGTTTTTCAACTTTCCATCTATGGTGCCCTCCTTTTATTGGATTAATCCGTTAAAGGGAAAGCTTAGCGAGTTAAGAAATAATATTTTATTCCGATTTTATTGAGCATAGTTGCTGCGGTAAGTTGAAACCGTTACGCATTGTAATACAACTTTAATAAACCAAATAACAAAAAAAATAGAATATCAAGGGGAAGATATACATATGCTGAAAAGCTTAATTATTCAGGATTTCAATAGTAATTGTGGCCACATGAATATGATGAACATTTCGGGTAGTAAAACCTAAGCAACTGAAGTAAATTATATCATTTTATGGTTATAAGGCAAAGGCTACAAAATGACAACTAACTAAGCAGTCTTGTAATATATGCAATAGAAGACTCAAATGAACACTTTGGTCCATGATACTCACAATGTACCTACCTCCCTTTATCAAATTGTTACAAGAGTAAAGTACGGTATTCCTTGTTCAAGTGAAACACAATCGATAAGAAACGATAGACACAAACTTGTAGCTATACTTCTTGACAAGTTGTGACCAGAAACAGAAACCAATATTTCAAGTCATTGGTAATAAAGGTGAATATTTTTGAGCCGTAATTTGAAATATGTGATGCTATACGAAAAGTGTGATGCGACTAATCACTTAAATTTCGAAATATATATAGGGCAAAGTGAAATCACTGTTCATACCAGTTACGCTGCCTACAAACCATAATCTAATTCATAAGAACATCATGGTCGTAGTTGCTTCCGATTGTGGTATTAGTCTTGTTATCGTTATCCAGGCAAATTAAAATGCTATTCGATATGGACATACAATCTGGTTGGGAAGCATTGCCAATAATATTTGACATGAGAAAGCTTTATGAATAGTTTGGTTATCAAAAGGTGTGATTTTGGATACTAGATCTGAAGAAGGATTCTCCAGTTCATATTGAAAACCTTGCTCAAAGATGGGCCATTATGTTATGAGAATATGATTTGAAAATAAAGTGAGAATCAAATTCCGAATTCCCAAAAGAAGATGCACTATCCTATCTAATATCCACTCAAACTGTTGACAATAAAAATAAGGTGGATATTTCACTATTTCCTTCAAAATTGTAACACAGCTCTAGTATATAAACCCGTTTGAGACATTAAAAACGAGGTCAGCAAACATGATATGCTCAGTAGTCAGCTTAAACAATAAAACTATAATTCTATGCGTGATGTATTCCAGTTTCCTGATAATATTAAATATGTTATCGCTTCTGGCAAAGTTAGTTTTTTGTAGATGTCACCTCATCATAATGAGATAGACAGACAGAAAAATGGGATTGAAATAGGATCACCGTTAGGACTGATGATAGGAAGTTGTTTTATATCAAAAGTAGAAAACGATAAGCTGAGCCAAATTAGTAGTCGTTTTAACATCTACAAAACATAACTTCCGAGTTCATCCTAAAGAAGGAATCAGAATCAGTGATTTTTTTTCTTGGTATGTTTCTTAAAAGATGCAGCGACGGAACACTAAATAGATTCATCTACAGAGAATCCAAATGGAATGGATGGTTCACTAAATTCTGTAGTTGAGTGTCGAGCACAAAGAAAAAACCTCATTCACTCTCTTTGCCATTGGGTTTAGAATATTTTTACGACAGATTGTATCAAACACCAATTAGTCTTCTTAAGAAGTAGTCTTGGTGAAAATGGTTGCCCTAACCGTTCTATTGATAGACAATATCCAAGAGCAACATGCGAAACAACAAATCAATTGAGTTTTCAGAACGACTTAGTTTATGAATTTGGAATTTAAAGGTGCTGTAGCACCGGAAATTCTGAAAATTCCTTTTTTGAGACCAACCAGCAGAACATTCTACATGGTCAAACTGTATTTAGTCTCCAACAGCGGCACACTGTTGTTCTCCGTAAAAGACAATATCGCCTAAGGTGTCATTCATCACAGACCGACATCCGTCAGAGAATAGTTGAAAACCTGGGAGCATTCAAAATCTTTTTCAACTTCACATGAGACTACTCAAAAGTATGTAGCCATGATCGCGCAAAGGATCGAGCTCAGAGAAATCGGATCACGCGGTCAGCGCGCAACCATTTAACCACGAGATGAAATCATCTATGGGTCCGCATTTTCAACTTCTGTCAATTCCTAGCATACTGTGGCCATCACCCAGTGAAATATGCGAGTAATTGTCCTTCCACCCCACTGGACGCTAAAGCAGTTGCTGTGGCACCTGACATTCCTGGGTTCAATCCATCATAATATCATCGGTTCACACTAGGCCGAAACAGCTGCCCAGTGCCCCCTAAAACCTACCAGTTGAATTACAATGTCCTTCAAAAGGCCACCTCTATGTGTATCTCTATTTGGTTACCCGCTAATGTTGAGCAAGGTACACCGGTGATAGTAAGAGATTGTCAGCACTTTATACGAGGGCGTATTCCAGCCTATTTTTACGAATCAAAAAGGAAACGAGTTAGAGATCCCATCCTTGGGCACTTGAATGTCAAAGATATAACTGACTCAATCTATGATTTCACATCGCTTATCAAATTCGCCTGAATACCCCGTCTTCTTCATTTCCAGCTTCCAAAAGAAGCAGAGGCTTAGGTTATTTGTGAGACGATACTCGACCTTTGTATACAAAAAAAAGTAGGTGCAGTCTTAGTTTTAACCTTGGTCAACCTCATTTTTTGTTGTTTTGCTTTTCTTAACTTTCCCATTTTAACATCAATATCGTTAATATTTTTGACTTAATAATTTTTGGTGTTACTTCGCTGAATCTTTCCAGTAATCAAAGCTTTTAACAAAAACGTATTCACTTTACCAATATCAACTTGTTTCAACTACATTACCCGGTTCTTTGTTGATTTATTAGCTGTAGCGTTTTCATTCCTTTGCAAGTTGTGCATCGTGTTGACGGTCTAAAAGTTTTACGCAACCCTTTTTTCTTATCATTTAACTTTTACACCTCTAATCAGCGAATCTATGAGATTAACTAGCGTCACTGCTAAGTAAATTTGTTGAGAAGAATATTCTCCTGTGGAATTCTAGTGAATATAAATCAAGTGTTTCCAGTAATTGCAGCTAATGTTGTAAAGCACAGAGTGCGTGAAGAAGTTTTACATAGGGTTTCCTAATTTATTCGATGAAGCTAATCGTGTATGTTTACTTACATCCGATAATAATTCTATGAGTGGTGTAAATTGTTATCTACCGTTAATAATTGTGTAACGTTCGCAAATCATGGAGTGATTCCAGCTAATCTTCCCAGCTGCGTCTTATAAGAGGTTAACATGTACTGGAATCACTCAGTCATAGTCATGTTTACTAGACGAAGATGGATACGTTTATCGAAGATCCTGTTGGTGACTGTACTAAATGTGCGCAAGCATCAAATTTCTGTTAGAAGAGAGGAACACGTTGTTGATAAAGACCAAGGAAATCATGGTCTCGAATATATAGCACTTTTGCTGGAAACTGCACACTACGATATTGATGCCTGTTTCAAATGATCAGAAATTTGTACTAACTTCATAAATTCGAGTGCAACAATCTTTCAGCTACCTTATTTATTGTGCCGTTCCGATGTTTTCAATATTCTCGTTTCGAATGGAAAATTCGAAAACCTCTCAGTAACTTTGCGCATTAGGCAATGAACCACACTCATTGTGTGAGGGTTAGTGATACTGCTTAGCTGCCCAAATATCAGTAGGTGGAGGAGTGTTCGAACCCACGACCCACTGATTGAAATACAACTTCCTAAACTAGCAACACACAACTTCACAATGTTGTTGTTTTATAAAATGATACTCAATTCTTGACATCTACATTTACACATTATGGCGATAGGTGGCTAAATATTAGACATATTTATGCCACTTCATGTGAACATCAGGAAAACGAAGAAGTACAATGATTTGCTGAAAAAGTCAAACAAGTTTCCATGATGTCAACCGTGAAAAGGTAAAATCGAGAAAGTACAGATAAATTTCTGTTCCCCTACTGTTCAACAGCGAATTTATGAGTGTAGAACCAGATAAGGTTCGATCAAAAAGTCAGGTGACCCGAAATGAAATTAAACCCAGGAAAACAGAGAATGGGTAGAGTAGCATGAAACGAAGGGATAGCTGGGTCGCTAAAGCCAGTTTTCCAAAAAGAAACGAAAAGGTATATTCTCGTAATTTCCATTAATTCGCATTAAAAAGGGTGCTTCAGAAAGTATTGGAGGGCTGAAATGTTTAGAATAGAGTTAGTAATGCAAGAAAACGTGTATCATACATGCAAATCATATACGACACTTAACAAAGATGGCAGAAAAAAGCAGCAGAAATTCATACTTGAAGTTTAAGTGGATACTTTAGTTACACCACGATTAGCATAGCAAAAAGCAGATCAAATACAGTCGATTCAAGTAAGAGGAACAATAAGACAACGAATGAAAAGAAAGACCTTCCAAATAGACTTGAGAAAGGTGCCTCATCACTTTTACAGGTGGAGGTGAAAGAAAGTGACCGCAACATAAATCGATATTTTAACTCCTCAACCACTGAAACAAACGTTTTTCGGCTTGAATTTCGAGTCTTTCCGTGTATTCAGTGCCACTAAATTTATTGAAGTCCACAGCGTGCTTGGTTAACTCACCATTGGTATGCTAGAAAGCACTAAACTGATGAACTAGATAAGACAAACATTCAGATAACATATTTTCACCACCATTACTGTAGGTAATAATAGAGAAACCTGAAGGAAATTTGTTTACGTACTTTAGTTCATTTTTTTTTAAGTGCAGTGCAGAAAAGATATAACAGTACTAGTTATAGACTTCAGTACATAAAAATGAAATGAATAACATTGTTTTTAAAGCCAGTTGAGTTGTGTACTTAGCAGTTATGTGAAAGTGAATCAAAAACTTTTCAATGCATGTTAAGTAAAATACCTAATTGATTAACACAGGCTTCCAATTTCTTGCATTAACGGCTAAATCAAACCACTATTCTAAAAAGGTAGTTACTTAACTTCTACAGAATAACTGTCGACCAGTTAAATGATTCGTCCAACAAGTTAGTTACAATATACAAGAATAGAGTGAGAGATTTCGTAAGTGAGATACCATGCATCGTCCAGTTAACAACCATAGTTTTTCTAATTGCACTTTCCCTTAGTACGTAATATGAGAAGTTCTTAGGAGAACTTTTAAATATGTTATAAAGAACTTGTTTTATTTCCATTATTTCCTTAGTGATACAATCTTGAGTCATCAGTGAGAAATGAGCATCCCTGAGGCTGAAGTTTGTCTTGCTAGAGAGTATAGATAAACTTAAATAAACTTCCCTTGATAGCATCATGACATTTGGCTCCACGCATCTAATCCGAGATGCCATACACCAACTAGCTTGAAATTCTACACACAAACTGGGTCGAAATTTATTTAAACTAAAACCTCACGTCTGATTTTAAAATCTAAAGAAAGAAATATTTTAAACTGAGCCTACTGAAGTGTGAATATCTCCCAGTTGCCTACTTGAACATCACTATCCTGGTGTTTCAAGGTGATCCCCACCCTTCTCTTCGATCAGATGGGTACATTTACAGTTATCCAATGAAGCTCACTTTTTCAGTGAGTAAGAGGTTATAGTCATTGACATCCTACTGCATACATTATAAGCATTCTAGTATGCATACGCTTATACCTGCCAATAGCAAATGCGTCATCAATTTCATATCAATCAGTAAACAAATAAAAAGCGTCCCATACTGTACTTATTCAAAGAAAACACGATTCTAAAACAGATCTAGCTTAAAGATACTATGAAATCAATCCTTTGTCGCCAAATTTAAATTCTTAATATGATCTCAAAATTCACTTTCAAGTACTTTTCTACAGTCCAGAGACAACAGCATTCAACTGCATTTTATTATATAAGGAAACAGATAGACATACCAGTATAAAGCATCGTATGAATGTATCAACTAAAATTGTCACAAAATGAGATAGACAGAAATAATAAGAAATCATTTAAACAAAGAAAGAAGAGTGAACAATTAGATAAAGAATCGTAAAATGTACAAGATTTCGAAAATCATCAAAACTGAATACAATTTAGAGCTATATCACCAGTCCTTGATTCTTAACATCTCAATAATCTTGACTGGGTAGTCTACACTCTCTAACATACGTCTATACCGAAAGTCAAGAACTTCACGGATTAACGTCATTCTTAGCGTGTTAGAAATTGGTTGTCTAATTAACTAGATATTCATACAAAATGGTATCAGTAGCTTATTCTCTGTAGTAAACGTCTATCATCCAATGAATGCACAGAGAGACTTAAAATACCATTATTCACCAAAAATAAATGCCACTAAATAGATCTCATCAATTAGTTAACAACTATAGAAGTATCCTTCAGACTAATTGACAGACAGACATCCAAAAACTTGTCGATACATAGAAGACTGGCCAGCTACACATTTTCTACTTTTATGATCAAAGTTTCATACTCCATGTCTGTAATCCTTTCACTTGGATGTTAATTAAGAGAAATATTTAGTCTGGCAATTTGTCAGATGGATGATCAATCTTACTATCAGGCTGATTCAACTTATATGAAGCATGCTTGGTATCCATTAGAAATTCAAGTATTAATCCCCCTCCAAAAAAATCTTTATTACCTATATGCAGGATGAGAAAGTGAGTACCATGAAATTGATTTCAGTAATTATTTATTCTTCTTATGCAAAAGGATATTTTAAAAGCGAAACGCCGAAATCAAAACCCAGCCAGTAATCTTGAGTACATTAGTGTGATAGGCAATGAGTCACAAGTATTGTTAAGGGGCTAATGATACTACCTGGTTGCTTAAACATCTGTAGGTGGGGTGGAGTTCGAACCCGCGACCCAATGGTTAAAAGTCATCCTCTTAAACCAATAAGTTACTGCCCCACGAAGTTGAAATGTACAACTCAATGTTCTGAGTATACAAAATTATTAGTAAGATTTCCTATTTAAATATAAGATGTAGTTATTCTCAACAGTTGCAGAAAGATAAGTTAAATGTTGCATTTCATAATAGTTATTCTACTTGGTGAAGTTTAATAACGCAATAACACAAGATTTGCAGAATAAAGATAAGGTCATTCATGTCATATGATTTGCTTTCAGAAAATCTGTGAAGAATATCTCTTAGTTGATGAATATGTCTAGTTTGAAATATTTATTATATCATGAAAATTTTAATGAAAAACAACCCATTTCGACAGTCAGTATAATTAAGTAAGTTATAAGTGCAACGAGTTTTGATAACAAAGGGTTGAACAGAGATTATGACTTCAGCTAGTATCTAAGTGTATACAAAATTATCAAATACACAATTTACAATAGACTTTATCTTTAGAAGAAATATAGGGATGCTGATTAAAAATGACAGGAAACCAAGATTCAAAACAGCAACCTTGAACCTATTATCAGCTGGGTTTCGTAGATTATCGAAATGGTAACTCAAAGACCGTTAGTGCTTTAGTGTGAAATAGGATTGCCGTAATCTTCATATGAAGTGGTATATCGCTTTAGCCTGTTACAACTAACCGTTTTGCTCCGGAGCACGTGGATGGACATACAAATACCACATTTTAGGTTGAAATTCACCATGGACTGACATAAGTTAGAAGAAGGTTGGAAACCTGGAAGCACTAGAAAACTGCCTCGTCCCAGTACGCACCCGTGAACCCACTCGCCGAGGATTGAACTCACGACCTTCAGGTTCCGTGGTCAGTGCGTTACCATCAAGCCACTGGCTGAGAATCCACTGGTCCATATTTCCTACTTCTGTCAGTTCACGGTATAACGTGTCCTATGTCCAATGTCGTCGTTGAGCAACTGTCCTCATGTTCGACTTGGTTTACTCCATTCGTCACGACTCCTCGTTGGAACTTCAGGAATCATCACTCGCAGCAAGTCACCAATAAGAGCTAGATTAATTCTGTCTGGAGTTTTGTGGAGATCTATTAATTGGTGTTAGGTTGGAATTTATTGGATTCTGAACAAGCGGCTCAATAGCAACGTGCTGGCCACAGAATCTGGAGGTTCTGGGTTCGAGCCCTGGTGCCGTCATGGGTACACACTACGGAGAAGTCCCATACTAGGAGGAAACAGCTGAACAGTACTCCCAGATTTCTAACGTTCCTCCAAGTGATATCAGTCTATGATAAATTCCAACCTAAAATCAATTAATAAATCTCCACAAACCAGAAAAAAAAATATATGATTAGTTGAAGAGACAAAAATCTAGAAAGGCTCGGAAATAGCCAGGACCATTGTAAATATATCTATAAACCCTCGTATTTTGTGTATATTCTTGACTGTGCAATACATCTCTTATATCACCACTTTTCCCATCCATCGAGGAGACTGAGCGACCGACAAAGTGGAATCTTAAGGTTATTGTTCAACTATTCATATATATATATATATATATATATATATATATATATATATATATATATATAAACTCAGGCTGTATGAAGTCGCTACAAGAATATAACAAGTGACAGCAGGGTTATAAGAAGTAGGGACAAGACGATATAACAGCTATTTCAAGCCCTACTGGAATCTGGATAATTTCAATTTGAATTATCATTTGTCTACGCAGAAAACCCATTAAAGTTAGTAGGAAGATCGATTGAACAACCTACCAAGTTCATTTATTACTTCTGGCGTTGATAAAAAGTAACCCTTGGGAATACTAGTTTGTCGCAGAAGTGTAGAACTGCAAGTGGAGGGTAACTGCAAATGCTTCATTGCTGGAATTTTTCTTTGACGTGACTGTTGTTGATGTTGCGGTACAACAGCAGAATTACTGGAACTTTCTTCATTTGCTGTCATTTCACTGCCTGAACTTTTTACTTCATTCGAACTGTTATTATCATCCACATTATTACTATTATCATTATTTGTATGGCTGTCATGGTTTGTAGTTGACATTTTTGATGTAGTCAGTATTACTGTGGAAAGTGATGTTGATGCTGAAGAGGATAAACAGTCCAAATCAACAATATCGGAGGGTGTTTGAGACGAGGCATCAGAACTTCTAACCAGTAAAACTGATGACTCGGATATAGGGTTGTTTGAAGCATTGCATTGTGAGATTATATCAGGTTCTGATGGTGTAAAAGTACGCGCAGAACAGGCTTTTGCTGTTGTTGATGATATAGACTGTGCATGGACGTCAAAAGAGAAACTTAGAATTAGAAATATGAAATAAAATGTAATAGATATGTAAACAAATACTATTATTATTTGTAAAGATATACAGTTCCACAGTCTGTTAGTGAAAGTTGAATTTTTATGCAGTCATAGGTCAGTTACCGAAATTCAAGCAGATATTTACTTGAAAAATATGCATTCAACTAGACTATCTGCTGACCAGACTATATAGACAATAACTTAAAATATTTCAAAACATATATCAAATATTGAGTAGACTGCTACTAATACTCAAAAACCTGAAAAATATTAGATTAATGTGCAAATCAGCAACATTACATAAGTTTATGTCAAAAGTTTTCAGATACATTCCATCGTTTCAACACTACTAGTGAAGTTTAACTGCTTATCCAAGTCAAAAAATATGGGATGCATTTTAACATACTATTCAGTTTGCTTGCACTTCGATTACTGATCTAGGCGTAGGGTACCTGATTGCAATCCTGACAATAAACACTCATGACGGTGCTTATCAATCCAATCCATTATTACTTTTTGGAGTTTAAGCTACCCCTGCTATATTCCAACAGATTATGAGTGCTACTATATCAGGTATTCCTGGAACTGTATTTCACCTTCATGACTTTGTAAATAGTGAGATGATTCAAAAGAGAGTTGCATGAGACTTTGTGGTTTCCAACTATGCGCTTAGGAATGTAAGTTTTATTTGCCGTCTATAAAGCATGTGAGGTTTATCTTTAGGCTACCTTCCCTTTTTAATGATCAGTTCAAGAGTCCCATCTCCTTTTGGCCTGAAATACCAAAAAGATGTAAATATTTGTAAACAAATGTCGGGGAAATGGAGCTAGCGCCATGTATAATGTATGACTACCGCAGAATGAAAATAATCAAGCAGTCTAAAACATGATCCTGCTGTGATATAGAAACTAAAATAGTCAAACACCATCAATACATAGCATATTGATCTCCCAACCAGCTAGACTAGAACCTTAAAGAAAAATGACATATTCATGTTGACACGGTTGTACACAGCACTATGATAGGTTTTGCCGATTTCGGCAAATATAAGATGATGCACCACAACTGGTCCGTTTCGCATTTGTCAGTATGCATCACCTACCTCTAGAGCCGACTAGCCACATATCTGACTAACTACCGAACGATGAGTATACTGCGCTGCAGTCCCTTCTGTTCTGCTAATACAACTGTAAGACGTGACCGTTGAAAGTAGAAGACATGAACAAATTACTACAAATGCCTTCTAGCACACCTTGCGTTTACCGAAATCACCATGTGAGCAAGTGAAACGCACTAGGCAATATATCCAAGTCTAATCATGAAGGTGTGAACCTTCATCTGCTGACGTGGCTTCAAAATCTCCTTCCAATGCCGAGCCACTGCCCACCTTCACGCCACATAGTAGGACAATCACAATATAGTTGGAAGAGGATTCAGGGGTGGCCAGACCAACACCTGCCACTAGTTCATTAAGTCCCTAAATGTCGGTTTAAGCCGTGTGGAGAGTTGTAAATTGTCTGGTTGAGGTCTCTCAGAAGGAAGGAATTAGTAGTTGAGGACTTTTGGTGACACGGTTGGAAACCGATCACTTCTTGACATCTAATGCTTCAATATTTGCACTACCCATTACATTCAAATTGTTTATACTCCCATACAACGCTGTCTATTTTGATATCAGTCTTTTTCTATCCACCTGTTCTTCGTATACTACTGTGAAGTGTGGGAACTTGAAATGATGTACTGACTGACAAAATCAATTTAGAATCTCGCACACACCGGGCCGATAGCTGCTACCGTGACGTTACGGTCGGGTCTGCTTATCACAATGACCCAACTACCTATGCTAGGGGAACGCCTGTTCCATCGAGGCCCTACTATACCAGAAAGATTTGCTGGATAGTGGTAAAAAGAAAGGCAGTTATCGTTGTAGTGTAAATTGCTGCACTGTGATGGGGATCTGTGAGTGAAGTCGTACGGATGTTAGCTGGATAGAGTGTGACAGCAGTATATTTTTCCCTTGGATGGCCAGCAGTTCTGCGCTGATGCTGCTTGCCTAACTGGAAGAGGAGGCTAGAAAAGGTAGGGCCTAAAAATAAAACACCACTCTTCTCCATGGTCTTCCGGTGTCAGTGATATGGATTCTCTCTATCCAGCCTTAGAACAAAGAAGCCTCAAAACAACATTCCACAAATAAACCATGCGTAGTAGGCTTCAAGCAGATGTCCCATAGGCCCAGCGGTCACACAAATCTTTTTCTCTTTGAGTTACATTAAGAAGAACCTATGCACTTGCGTGTGAGGTACTACTACTTTGAATCTGTCTCTCTGTCTGTCTATGACAGACAGGCAAACATTCAGGCAGGCTAGCAGACGTAACTGCAGGTGATCGCTTTCATTTTATCGATTCTCAGGTGACGCAAATGAAATTGGTAGAGGACAGCTGGTCGAATCGTTATTGGCTTAATGACACGATTTGCGAAGATGAGATATGGATCTAGAGTAAACACTTATGTTCAGTACTTTGTGATTGGAATCAAGCGACTAACTACGTACTGCATGTTGGTTAGATGCAAGTATCATAGACTGTGAATAATAATTTACATGAAAAGATGCTGCACTAGATTCAAAAATTGTCACTGATATCATATTTCACCAACTTTTTGCTGCAAACATTATACGACCATATGGTCTATTATTAATCCCAACGTTCAAATATAGCTAAAAACCTTAAACACTTTGTCTGCAGTCGGCAGATCATTTTTTTAGTCCCACCAGTCCATGCCACACGATTTCAAGTAGCCGGGTAGCATCCACGGACATGGCACAGTAGGTTTAACTCTTAGCTGAGAACGCGAACTAATATACGGTTGTTGCACCTTTGCGTTTCGATCACGTAGTCCATTTGAATAAGGATGTTACTGTCGGAATAATTTATTTTTTTAAGCAGAAAACATCTGTACAACAAGCACACTAAACAAAATAAAATTACACTACAAGGACAATGTGTGAGAAAACCAATTGAATTATACACAATTATGGTTTTGACCAAATAAAATGATCAAACTAGAACATAATCCAGAATATTATTCATCTACGTTTTTACTTTTTTTTACAGTTCACCGCGTTCTCTACAGGATTCACACTGATCGGAATTCTAAATGATATCTAATGATCCAAACCATTTAGTGACATGGCTTCTAAGACTATCCTGAAAGTTGTGATGCCAGTCTGAGATAAGTATCGGTAATTACACAAATTCATGTTATATAAAGAATACTTTTATCCCTGACCAAACCAGCTCTAGATTTAGAGAATAAGCCTTGATATACGAGCTATAGCGCTAGTTACCAAAAACGATGCTAAAAGACGACTTCACTTTCTCAGTAATGGTGTTCATAACGTGCGAAATACGACACCACACGACGGTATTTTATTACGCCTATGGTTTATGCTACATAAGACCAACAGTCGTAAGAGACAGCCACAGTAAAACATAAAAGACCACTGATAATCGCTTTCCTTGAGAGTCAGGTTTTACAAGTGGGGATCAAAGCATGATATGCATAACCTTTTACAGTCACATGAGCGTCACAACGATATGGAAAAGACTTCCTTACTAACAACAAATGTGAGGTAGTACATAGTTTAGGTTGCTTTCGAAATGAATAGTAAACAGCTTCCTATCCGGTTACAAGAGAACCATTTTCTGTATAACAATGTAAGCCAACTTGAGAACAGTGGAAAATTTCTACATAGCCAAATGGCAAACCGAATACAAACCCTCGATGGGATAAACAAACAGAACATAAATGTACGATCTTATTTACCGATAAAGCGCTGAAAATATCAAAATGCGCTTAGCAGCCTTGTGCACGCTTATGCAGTAATCAATGAGCTACATCTATTGTACGAGAGCTAATGATACTATTATAATGCCAAGAAGTTGGCAGTTGAAGCGGTATTCGAATCAGTGACATATTGGCTGGGAGTCATATGCTTAGAGCAATAAGCCATAGGTCCACCGTTGAAAATAGATCTGCACAAGGAAGTGAAGAGATAACACGATAATAAGTCGTGGACAGTAAACTATCTTTTCGATTCTCAAAATGATGCTGCACTTCTAAGTTGTTGACTAACATTCTGTATTATGCCTGTTAGATGATTAAGGAAAAATTTGTGTGTATATGTCCAATACAACAGGAAGATGGAGCTTCTTACCTTGTCAATATTATTCATGGAATTTGACGCAAAATGATTGATACGATTTTCGTAAACATCTGACCTGTAGTCATTCATTTGTCTATGCTGTTCATGGAGTCCTGAAAAATTATGTTCATCAGTTACACGCGGCATATCTTGGAGCTCATTTTCGGAGGTCACTGAATGAAACAGAAAATTGTACATATAAAAATAACAGACTGAGCCAACAAAAACATCTCTTTAGATTCTTACCTTAAGAGTGATGAAGTTTACGAGACATGTTTAATATATGGTTAATGATAATGATGAATTTATACTGGGTGATGATTGAAGGCGAAATGAAAATTAAGACTGCGGCAGGATTCGAACCAGCGATCACCGGGTTTCTAGTCCAGTGCTCTACCAACTGAACTGCGGGGCATGACTGCTGACCAACTTTTTATTTCACTCCAATCGCCAAGGATTTCACCGGACCACCATGTGAATTCGTGACGCGTCACTGCCACTTGATCGTACTTATACTGGCTGCCTAGTCAGGACTTCTCATCCTAATGATGAAGCCAAAAATAGTAGTTAACAAAACGCGATATGAACCTACTGTGTTCCATCTGAACATAACTAGAAATAGTATATGCTACCCAACTAGTTGTTAAGATATCCTTAAACATAATCTTTAACGGATTATTTGTGTCTATAATTCGAAAAGACAAGACCCAAAGGAGATATACACCAAATATAAGACAAGTAAGTCTAGCTGAATTATGCTAAAGGAATAAAAAGAAGCCAGCGGTAATCACAAATATTTTACTTATCTAACCCGAAAACCAGTGTGCAATTTACATCACATAATGTTATCGTTAAATTAACAAAGTGAATTTAGTCACTAAAGCTTCTAAGGTAAATTTAATACCATATAGAATTTCTATTTACAAAGACTTCCCATTATCATATGCTAAATTAACCAACTTATTATCAATAGTCAGAATTTCTTATTATTAGTGGAATGCAAAATCTCAGCGACTGGACTGATCACGAGGTAATAGTTGTGCTTGAAATATTACCAAAATTTAAAACTTACTATTGTGTGTAAATATGCACTACACATATATTTATAGTGAATTGATCTATTCGACAGCACAGTAATTTAATCTAGATTAACCCTTTTGATGACAGTTGTTAATAGAAGAAATAAAAATAAAATCGGCGGAAATGTAGTACTACTGACAGTCAAGCTGAATGGTCCTGACTTTAAAAAAATCTTCAATCTAGTGATATACACAATGATTTAACAACACCCTATGACTTGTGCTCAAAGTTTGAAAAGGTTGTGACAAACTAAGAAGAAAGAAAATCATTAGCCCGAGATAATTTTACATTCAATCTGGTCTTGCTACTCGCTCTAAAGGCAGATTAAGAACCAATTCTTCACAGGACCATGTAACAGTAACCTTTTCAAAGGGAAATTGGACAATTACTGGACTGAAGCACTAATAATTGTGACAGTCGTCACGATCACAATTGTGAGTAAAAGATATGCACTCTTTATTTTTTCTATAAATGCATCATAAATATACCGATACAGGTCACCCTTTTCTGTTTAAAACATCTTGGGAACTTATCTTCATTTGAAAGACCTTCTGATCAAAAAAGTCAGCTGGTGATGTAATACTGCACATGCAGAATGCAGGTAAGGTGTTGTGCTCTGAAGAACACTTCAAGAGTAATTGATAATCTTTAGGAGGCACCCTGTATCTGATGAATGTTACACTAAAGATTGAACGTTTCAACCTTCAAGCATCGGTGTAATTTGCATTAGGTTTACTAACAAGTTTATCCTAATTTTTGCGAAAGACTTCTTAGAAATTATCTTCATAACTCGGAGCCAAGTAATTGTCCATAGCACCATTATATGAGAAGAGATGGCGAAAATACTCCTCTTCGACTTAGTCATTTCCGTTGGGTGGAATACTTTTTCAATACATAATTAAATAGAAGGTCATATCGGCATATCCTTACACTGCCATACACTTAATTAATCTCTATGAAGATATCAATTAAGCCAGAAACACTTCAATCAGAGTTGAGGTAACTACCACGAAGATAAATTGGATAGAAAATAAATGATTCATCAAAGAGCAGAAGACCAAGCAATATACGCTAACTGTGAAACTACTGCAAACGTAGCCTTGCTTTAATGACCACGTGCAAAAAGTTTAAATTTGTGAAGATTCGCTCTATGTTTTAGATCAAAGCCTTGCAATTTGCACGTTGAACAGCTACGTTTCATCATTGCGGTCACCACAGACTGCTTGAACTCCGTAGCAGCAGTATATCAATAACACTGAGGTATAGTGGTATGTTTTTGAGCAAAGTAACGATCGTGATAAAGCAAATTTATTTATATTAATGATGGACAGTGGCTAGCAGTGGAATCCAGGGTGCGCGTTTCGTCCTATTTTGGACTCGATAGCTGGATGTACCTGCCTCCCGACGAGTGATGTTGTTCCCACTAAGATCCGAATCCAGGACCGATCGCTTCTAACGCCAGAGCGTTATCCACTAGGTAAGTACAAGTAACAACATAAATGTGATCATAATGTGAAACCGGTTCCAGTGTATGAATAAATATGGTGTATAACACCAAAGCATACTGTGTCGATACATTTTGGCAGAGTGTGGAACCAAAGGGAAAAGATGTAAACACAGTTTGGAGACTAAAAGCTTCCCGCTTGGAAAAGTTAGCTGTGTTTAGGTGAAGAATCTGCTGATCTACCACAACTAAATTTATGAAATCCAAAGGACGATGAGATTTAGTATCGAAAGAGCTAAATACATCTCAAAACTAAACTCAGTTACAATCCTAACGGTGTGTTAAACTAGACAGTGATGGGCGGGGTGCGGGAATGGTGATTTTACTTCAAACCCTGTAATTATTTACCACTGTATCATTCATTCACTTGTACACCACATTTATAATACACCTTGATTTGTTCACGCCAGTCACTTACAGATTAATTTCATGGATAATAGAATCCAGGTGCCTAATTCTTCTTCTTCTTCTTCTGCAACTACATTCAGTTCAATAAAACTCACAGTCAAATTTCTTCACAACTGTACGCAATTTGAAATTCACTTCACGTATACAGTAATCATAGTTGCGCCTTAGTATAGTGATGATGAAAGCATTCTTAGGAATGTATATGCACACATGAAAACATGTGAACAAGTTTTACAACAAGATCGCAGTAGAAAACATATAGTGGAATCCAGAAAAAAAAGCGTGATTGTTAGCACCGTAAAATCAAAGTAGATGCACATAAAAATACACACAAAAGTATTCATGCACATAAATATTTGCATATTTAGTCAACATGTAGCTTTGTTTATGCAGAATGAACAGCATTAATTGTAAAAATAATATTACTGGCTATCGAAAAATGACCATGTAACGTAAGTAATAGTCATAGTCTTCTGATTTGGTGTCATATGTCTACCTGTTTACGTGTTGAATAATAATTACCATTAATATTATACAGTGCCTGGTGAACAAGAGGAGTAGAAGGAAAAATTGACTATAGTGTTTATTGATTTCAGTCTATTGCACATAAACACACACGTTCAGAGGAAGCAAATCTTTATTTTAAGCAAGTATCTTCAGTGTGTGTAGTGAACATACAATCCTCGCACCCGACTACTATAATCATATCCTTATGTTCATGTTGTAATTTGGTCGAAGGGTGGTTAGCAGTGGAATCGAGGATGCACGTTTTGTCCTATTTGGGACTCGTCAGCTGGATGTACATGCACCCCAGTGAGCGATGTTGTCCCCACTGGAACTCGAATCACTACAAGCGCCAAAGCGTTGTCCACTAAGCCCCTACTGAGGTATGATAGGCACCTCTTGTGCAACCGGTGTCAGTTATTATTATTATTATTTATTGCCTCGAGGCAACTACACAGGAGCCCATATACCAACAGAGGTCGATTAATCCAGTCTAGAATAATAACGAGAAATTACAAGTGTCAATAAATATTTTGATGTTAATTTGGCGATTTGAACCTTGAGAAACATCAGTATACTAGGATCAACGATTTTACATTACATAGATCTATCAGCAACCTATATGTGGATCTGATTTCCTAAATTATTGATTTAATTAGAGTTGTATATGACTTCAATCTTAGTAAATCCTACTCACACACTATGCAAAATAGTAAGGTGGAAAGTTTTCAGTGCGTCAGATATAGTAATAAAAACCTGTGAAACTTTATAAACTGACTGGACTACGTATTACTACTAATCAATACATTTCTTGCTCACCAACTTATTTAAATAGTTGTTATTACTCCATAACTGTCAGAGTTGTCACAAAACATGTCAGCACATTAAGATACAGAGTAGCAGTAGGGAAAACAAAATAAAGCTAACCAGAACAATCAACAGTCGTATACAGGGTCAAAAGAAGAGTAGAGAAGTGTGTTATAACGAGTAAACTGAAGACAAGGGTATGAATGCATTATCATTACTGTGATCATCGTTTAAGAGCTATAATACCTATAGAGTTTAGTTATCAGTTCCGGTCTTTCCATGAGGTCCGACCAGGAGATTTTCACTTTCTCACATGCTTCACATAGAAATTCCGAGTCCTCATGGAGTGTAACGATGTTTCAGTCGGACTTCTCTCGATAGTAAAACTGAGTAAATAGCAGTAGGAGAAGAAGAGTAAAGAGACTGATATGAAGCGAGACCATATGTTTACTTTTCAATACAAGAAAAATAATGAGTACATTTAATTTAGTCACGTAAGTCTTCAGCCACACTATCTAACGTCATCAACCAGCGATATCTATTAACTGAACGACTCTAAAAGGACAGAAAGGAAAAACGATGAATTCATGATTTAGCATCGTAACGTTTCACGTATTACTGCGATTTCATTCATCATATATTTATCTTGATAAAAATCGAATATGTAGTCAATTTGTGGCAAGAAAAACAATACAATTCCATAAAATCATAAAAATACAGACCTAAATTTCGCGAAAATCCGACAATAACTTCGAAACACTCACATTCATTCGTTCAGTAGAAGTGTATACAACAAAACAAATATAAGTTTGTTAAAGAAGTCAAGAAACGGTAAAGTTTTTTTAACGTAGGTATAACGATTTAATTCCA